AGCGCTTCCCGAATGGACGATACAAGCCGACATATTCAACCGCCTCGAGGAGCTGAAGAAGGTGACGCCTTATCCCGAATGGCTCAAATCCATCACGAACCACGAAGAGCTGATGTCTCTCATTACTACTGGTGATTACAAGAAATACTTCATGACTATCTTGCAGCACGGTGAAGTTCGGCTTGGAGGTGCTCGTGACTATGCACGAGGGTTGAAGCGCAAAAACGTCATGCTATCGACTCTGCTGCGAGATTATTCGCAGGTGTACCAGCGTATGCATTTTTTTTTTTTTTTTTTTTTTTTTTAGGTGCTGCCGACTCGCGACTAGAAGGAACGTCGACTGCTTCATTCATTGCCAAGGGGACGAGAGTTTAGAGAGGTCAGCTAGTTCGGAACTAAGGACATACTCAGGTCTCTTAGGTCTCTTAGGTCGTTAAAGACTAAACCCTTAAAAGTCAGAAAGTCGCCACATTTTTTTAATCTTACCGAATCCTCGCGCCGGGACTTATGCGGTCTCACAGATAGGGTCTTTAAAAACGAGTTAAGTAGTTGACACTGCGCTGGACCGATATGCTTTGGTGGCCATCCTACATACATACTCTTGCCATGACTGTTGGTTCGGCAGAACCGGGTAGCAACACTCCAACGGTAAGCAAGTTCCTGAGCTTGCGCTAAAAAAGATGTGTTAAAAGGCACATTAGAGTGTATAGATACAGGATGAGTGCCCGTCCAGAACGACTTGGTTGGACGCGCTGGAGCACAGTTCTATATGTGCGTATCACGAACGTTATAGTTAGCACTTCGGATGTGGAGGTTAGTTAAATATATAACTGACTTATGCTCTTGTTTTATGTATTGTTCATTCGATGATCTCCTTGCCCCTGCCTAGTTTTTTCTCAAATATCAAATGTTTTTTTCTGTATTGTCTGTCTTCTTAGCCTTCAGGCGAGCATGCGCAGTCCAACAGGACGGAAGTTACAGCCTTAGCAGAAGGCCAAAGCGCTCACTGTCGTAGTACCTGGCTTACACTTTCGGAACGAACTAGGTCCCGCTTGCTTCCCGACGTCGTTTCTCATATATAATTAATGGTCATCGGACTTTTACATTACCAGTTGGAGTTCACGTTTTATTACTCGCATCACGCGAGTACGATTGGACAGGTTCAGAACGGGGATGTCTCTGTACCCAGTAGTACCTCAGAGTTCACGACCTTCCCCGTCGCCCACGAACGAGCATTTCCATGCGTCAGTTACTAAAATTGCAGACACTGCTGACGCTGACGCGTAGCTGCACAAGAAAGTCTCGTGCCTTATACAGTGCATATGGCAATATCTAACAGCTTTTTCTAAGACCTAGGAGTTCAGCTTGTTCTAGAGGGGGAAGGTCATCACTTATCAACGGCGCTTATACAACAAAACGCGCTAGTTCGACTAGGTCCTGCTTCCAAGTAGTCAACTACGGTACCGCAACCCGGTGAGCAATCATTGCGGAACACCCGGTGGATAACATCGAATTTATCCTCAACGCAGCGCTCACGCAACAATTCAATGCAGATGGTCTCAACAATAGGCTGTCGGACGGCGCTTGATTCGATTCTACTTTCAATCTTGGATTTTTCCTTGCATCTCTTGTAAAGTAATGTTTAGTCACTTATATCTTGTCAATGTGGTGAATATGAAGTGTGTTTCGGGCATCGACGTTTCTCATAATTACATGCTCTGTGTACATCGTTAATTATTGATCAAACGATCATTTATCGTCGTTCAAGACAGACGCGGCAATGCAAGAAAATTTGGACAGAACTCGATGCTGACGGATTTTCATACAAATCACACAACAAATTTTGCATTGAGTACACAGATCATACAACAACTTTGTTCAACGGAGAGAAATGTACATACGGGCAACCATTCGGGAATACGTCGTCAGGAAGGACACAAATCCAGACGTCACTGCTTCAAACGCGGCGTCTCGACATTGACCATTTTGATTTGTAGGGCCTTGCCATAGCGCGGCAACGAAGAGAAATCGGCAACTTCCGCGACAGCACGAATAGCCTTGATTTCCTCTGGGGTAAGGACAACATCGGCAGCCCCGACGTTCTCTTCGAGGTACTGTTATGAAAGGAGAGAATCAGCCACCGCATTTATTTTTCGTAATAGGAAAGTAATATTCAGGACTTACTTTGATCTTCTTCGTGCCGGGAATTGCGACGAAGTGGTCGCCTTGTGCCAGAACCCACGCAAGTGTAACTTGACCTGGCGTCGCATTGTGCTTCTTGCCTATCTCCTTAAGGTACTCGACAATGTCAAGGATCTTAGGGAAGTTTTCCTTCGAGAACCTGAAGAGACACATCAATCGTAAACACAATCTCATCTCGCAAAGATTGACGTAAGTACGTACTTGGGGTAACTCTTGCGGAAATCGTCATCCCCGAAGTCGTCTGGAGATTTCTGCAGAGGATGGTCAACTTGAATACACGAGAACGGCATGAGAAAGACGCACGTATTGACCCGTGAGGAGACCACGGCCAAGGGGCGAGAAGACGACAATCGTAACACCCAGCTCTTTCGCCGCCTTGAACAGTTCGGCCCGAGGGCCTTCAGTATCGAGCAGGAATGGGCTGAACTCGATTTGCAGAGCCGCAATTGGGTGAACAGCGTACGCGCGACGGAGATCTATATATTTTCCATTGAGACGACATTTATGTTCATGAAGTAGGCGAGAGCATACCGTTCGCGGAAACTTCCGAAAGGCCAAGGTATTTGACCTTACCCTCCCTACGGCATACTTTAAAAAGAAGTCTCGTAACACGAACAAATGACGCTTACTGCACCAGTTCGGCCATAGCTCCCACAGAAACCTTCGAGAATGATTACGTTACTTTCCCTCCAATATATGTCAATGACATACCTCAATCGGAACCTTAGCATCAGGGCTAGCGAAAGATAATTAAAACAAGAAAAATAAGTCAGCACGAAGGTACGTGCCGATGCTGATAGTAGAGGTCGATGTAGTCCACACCAAGGCGTTCAAGCGACTTGTTGCAGCATTGCTTGACATACTCCGGATCGGCACGAACTTGAACACCATCCTCAAGAGAAAACTCTATGCCAAACTTGGTAGCGAGGAAAATGCTGCCCCGCTTCCCAGTACGCTTGAACCTGAAGTAAAAATGTCATGAAATGACTTGCTTCGCGCGTTGGATAGTTCTAGCTTACCATTTGCCAAGGAGGTCTTCGGAGTCGCCGTAAACGTTGGCAGAGTCCCAATGAGTGCAACCCTTGGCATAAACCGCATCAAGGACCTGGACAGAGTAATGAGCGCAGCGGATTTGTTTGTACTTGGAATCAACCGACTTCGAATCGCTCCTCGTCTGTTCCAACGGTACCAAGGAATGCGCTGAGGCCCATGGCACCATAACCAATGGGTGGGACGAGAACATCGCCGATTTTTCTAGGAGAAAGAGGCATTTTGTAGATGGATGAAAAGATTTAAAGGTCAAAGGAAAGCAAGTTTAAGGACAAGTGTCTCTTCTGAGCTCAACAACACTCACTCGCTCTTTTTATCATTCCAGACATGCCTTCTGCCGAAGGACGCGTCACCACTCGGCGGCTAGCCTGCGGCCCACGACTTTGGTGTCAGTATTGAGCTCGTAGACCTGTGGTTGTACTGGGCGGAAGCTTCTCTTCATCGATAACCCCGTAGGAGATAGCAGTTACCTGCGCCCAATTGGCAGTCGCCTCCACATCAGGCCACGCCGCGACATCTGAGATGCCGATAGTCATGAGGGGGCCGACAAAAGCGTTATCGAGAGCGTTCCATGCTACATTCTGGAAGAAATAAATTCGTAGTTCTGTGGATACATTCGGGGTTCAACGAAAGCCAAGGACTCGACTCGTCTGCAGCAATCTCTTCGTCTGTTGGTCTGACTAGAGTCACAGATATCGTCGTCCAATCTAGAAGCACATAAATAGAGCAATGATATCGGAGGAAACGTATTTGAAGGTAACGGTGGCACAAGGGATTCCAAGGGATTTTTGAGCACTGGCAGGACCGTATGCTTTGTCGCATTCAATAAGCTTGATTGCAAGGGCATAGAGCTCGTCGAAGTATTCGCCGGAGTACGTGACTTTCCAGGGCTCAAATCCTAGCCATCGAACCATCTCCAAAATGCTCTCAAAGTAGCGCTCTTCTTCCTTCTCCGGGTTCGTGTCGTCGTATCGCAGGTAACACTTGCCACCATAATGCGCCGCATGGCCAAAGTTCACGAAGATAGCCTTCGAATGTCCGATGTGTAGGTATCCCTTCGGTTCAGGACGTTCAGGTGGGAAACGCGTCCAAACCGCACCACCTGTCGCGGCGATTAAATGAGAGTAGTCATTCGCTCCATGCAAAGTCGGCGTAGATTCTAGAAGTCAATCTAACTTCTTGCGTCGATGCGTGCAAAAGCCGTCAGATGACCCCGGCGTTCCTCATCCTACTAGTACGAAGCAGTGAACGAAAAAATATGGTGGAACTTACTTTGCATACATATGTGTGCCACTATCCATGGGCAATTGTCTCATGCAGATCATGACAAGCGCTTTTAGGGCATTACCATACAGACAAGGCAATCGTGTCGCTTTGGGCTGGGAAAATTGAGAACCGCAATAGTACTGAGTACAGCTTAGGACTTGCACACCCGACTATCATCCTTAAGTTCATGCTTGGCTGTCCGGTCACTGAAGTACTGACCGCCTGCGTCAGGCTGCAGCTTCGGCAATGTAGCATGGCAAACTGTTGCAAAAGCCCAGCGGTTCCAGAATGCTAGGTCGGATGTGGATTGCTATGCAATATAAAGATCTGAGTGACGGGCTCTTGAGACTTGCTGAATAGGAAATCAAAATGCCTTATTGGGAAGTGGAAGCACCTTATTGGGGAATCTCAACCATCATGTGCATGCGACTTTCGCAATGAAATCGTTTGCGAATAGTAGAAAAATCCCCATAGTTGTTGCAGGGGGCATAGCTCAGTTGGGAGAGCAGTAGACTGAAGAGTTGGCTTCTAAAGGTCCCGCGTTCGATCCGCGGTGCCCCCAATCATCTGCAGGAATGTCGAAGAAAGTTTTTCTTTTTCTTCTGGATTTAGTTGTGACACCTCCAAGGTACATCGTGGATCTTCGTATTACTCTTTTTTTTTGTGTGGAGCTTTTACTAGCTCAAAGCTGGTGGCTCCCGCAGCGCGATCAGGTTCGCACCCGTTTGCCGGTGTTGGTTAACCGCTGATTTGCAGGGATTGTGCCCCCGCGATCTTCGTATTACTCGAAACACGTTAGAACGGTTCGTCCACAGCTATGTAATCAATGCCGCATGGAACTACAAACTATACACGCTGGACGTATAAATATTGAATGTTCATGCACTCATGTTACGACTATCGAGAAAAGAGAACACGAAAGCCCATAAAAATCTGGTGCTATAGCTACAAAGGATACGAGGAATAAAAAAGAAATAAAATTCGTCAGAAAGGTTGCTCAGCCAGGACCTCCGACACTTTAATAACCAGCTCATCCTTGCTCCTCAGCTCCGCCGCAAAATACGCCTTCGCACCACCGACACCATACTTATGTATGACCTGCGTAATGCGCGCATACGCCGCAGGATCGTCCTGACGCCTCACACTGCATACCAAGTCTCTCTTCTTCGTGTATACCATCAAATCCGCCGTGCTCCCAACTGCAGGACCGCCCGTCATAAGATTAAACGGGACCTGCACCTTCACAACGATGCTCTTCGACGCGCTCGCACCTGCACCGTCCTGTTGAAACGCACGGGGCGTGTGCGCGTGGCGGTGGTGCGTCTCGGGCGTCGCCTCCTGGGGGATCGCAAAGAACTGGCGCGCAAGTGTCGCCATGGGCTGCACAAACGCGTGGCCCTCGCGGTAGTACGGCCGCACCGTCACCGTGCCCCCCGGTGCCGCAAACGACTTGCAAAGCGGCTTGTGCCGGGGCCAATCTGCGCGCTGGCACTCCTTCGAGCAATACCGTACCGTGTGGCAGCTCGAGCATTGCCTCAACGATCCCGACTGGCCACCCTTTCCTGAACTTGAAGCGGACGCGGGTGGCGGCCTCTTGCAGTGGTCGCAAACCTTGTCCTCCATGGCCGCCTCCGTCCCTGCGCGGCGGCGCACCCAGCGCTGAACGGCAGCGGTGACTTGCGGGCCGCAGCGCAGCTGAAACGTGCGCGGCACAATATCGTCTGCGTCCACGATATCCAGCGACGCACCGTGCTCCATCAGGAGGTCGATCGACGGGATGATGTTGTTCTGGAATGGTCCCATGAGCGCCGTCTCACCGTAGCGGTTGCGGTGGTTCACGTCCGCGCCGGCGGCGATGAGCTTTCGCGCAAGCGGGATGTGCGCGAGGTGATTCATGGTGACATGGAAGAGCGCGGTGTAACCGGCGATGTCTTCGAGGTCGACAGGCGCGCCGTGTGCGATGAGGAAGTCGAGCGTTGCGGAGTGCTGCAAATCCGAGGCATATTCAGCCCTGAGCGGCTGCACGCGCTGTGCACCCGAGATGGTGAGCATCACATAGCCAAACTTGTACGGCGTCTCTGAGCCCTCGAGGTCAGGGGCCTCGCCGGACTCGACTTCCTACAAATGAAAATACCAACTGAGCTCACACACGACGTGATAAAAAAGAAAAAAAAAACCGTACTTTTTTGACTTTCTCGAACTCACCCATATAACAGCAAAAACCGAACCACGTCAGGTCTTGTGAGTGGAAACTGGATGACCCTGGGAGTGCAGAAAGTGTTAACGCCTAGAACATATGGTGCGAACACCCACCATCAACATACATCTCACGCAAACGCTGTCCACCCTTCTCAATAGACAGATATCTAGGCTGGTCTATGATCCGCCGCATAGCAGGCGTGACCTTAAGACCACCATTGCCAGTACCGCGATGGGTGCGCTTGTCAATAGTTCCAATTACCGTATCTCGAGGCCCAATATGAACGGCATGCGTTTCCATACTAAACGACCAAAATAAGAGAGAAAGTCAAGATCCCGTCGACGCCACAGGGATGGGTATATTGATAGACTCAAAACGTTGGTCTCAAACTCGAACGATACTGTACCGTTTCGACCGTAGGTTCCGTCATGCGTCATGCCGGCCTCGGAACAGAACCTATCCGGGCCCCCATCATGCATCACTAACAGTTGGGAACTTTCGGCTGACGGTGATGGAAATTTACCTTTTTAGGCAATACAAGTAAGCAGACTAAAAACATGTCTATTACACATTTTTCCACTCCAAATGTTCAGTACTCAGTCCCTGTGGATATAGCAGCTACATTTATGTTTTTAAGTACAGAGAACTTGGAACTAACCATAGGCCCATCATGTGTCATGACCACTTGAGAACTTGAGAACCTCCGAGACCCCCCTGTCATACCCCAAACCCCGGGAACCTACGGTCGAAACGGTACAGTATATGAAATCTGGTTTGAATTTGAACTTGAGTCATGTTGGGTTATCATACATGGACGTCGGGGGAGCGCCAACTTCGATCTGAACTTTCGCCTTCAACGTCTTCAGTCCATCTCGCTCAAGTTCTCTTTCTGTGAGTACTTCAGTTCCCATCGCAGAAGGGGTTTTTTATTACATCCCATAAAGCGAAATCTCCTTCTATGGACACCTCTCGTGCAGACACCCCTCGTTCCATTCGCATACCGACGCTAGTGCCCTCTTCTCTACAGCTATCTCGAGAAAATGTTGCCAGGGATATGGTCCATGAAATTGTCGAGCTTTCCCTGGAAGAAGTCTTCTCCAACTACTTGCCTCCAGTGCTTCAAGCCGAAATCGATCAATGCCACTCTCGCCTGCAGCAGAAGAACATCATCGTAAACGGTCGTTGGTCTTGCTTCCAGAAAGATCCCAAGGATCGCCCAGTGGTAGAAGACTTGGTTTTTCAGGATCTGCAGCCTCTTTTTGAATCCATCGTCAACGCCAAGAAGTCCACATGTCATCCGGGCAACTTCAGTTGCGACGATACTGTTCGTTTGGTTCAGGTCGCATCAAAGACGACGATCTCCGAAATAAGAGGCAGTGATTTCAAAATTGATTTTGCCCTGGAGCTCATCAAATCAAGTGTTCCTGAAGCAATGAGGAAGAAAAAACAGTCCCGCGGAAAAATCTTCAGTGCGGACGTGGCCGGGCATGGTGAAGCCAAAAAATATGAAGAGCCTCTTCGTTGTTACGATGTGAGTAACTTACTATCACTCGACCCATTGTTGCCCAGGTTATGTCTGTCTGTAGGATGCGAAGAAAGCGGTGTATAGTGCGGTACATTACATGAACAACGATCCATGTCGCCGATTCACCTTCAGCGTAAGGCCGTATCTTTTTGTTTCTCCGTAGACAGACTAAGCTCCATGCAGGTGACAATCGAGAACACGCAAATGCGTATATGGTATTACTCTCGCTCTCATTCAGTCGTGTCTGAGCCTTTCAACTTTGTCAAGGTGCTCGTCTTTCCATCTCTTTGCTGCACAGCTTTCTTACGTCTCATTACAGGACACGAAATCTTTTATACGTTTCGTGCTAGCCTTCGCTTTCGCTTCGCCGGCTGCGCTAGGCTACGATCCCACTGTCAAGCGCTGTTGCGACAAATCCGGCGAGCCTTTCTATGTGTTCGAGATCAGCGAGGATGGGACGAAGCACTATTTTCGCACCATCCGTGTCCTGTCTGATTATCGCGCTGCGCGTATTCCGGGTCGTGGCACCCGTGTCTTCCTAGTTCGGCGGTGTTCCAGTTTCGATGACACGGAACCTACTGGTGACGACGCGGTGCTCAAGGATTTTTGGCTCGACGAGCGAGCGCTTCCCGAATGGACGATACAAGCCGACATCTTCAACCGCCTCGAGGAGCTGAAGAAGGTCATGCCCTATCCCGAGTGGCTGAGATCCATCACAAATCACGAAGAACTGATGTCTCTCATTACTACCGGCGATTATAAGAAATACTTCATGACCATCTTGGAGCACGGGGAAGTTCGGCTTGAAGATGCTTGCGGCCATGTACGAGGATTGGAGAGGAAGGATGTCAAGCTATCAACTCTGCTACAAGATCCTCGGCTGGCACCGCAGCCTATGCATGACCCGCCGGTCGAGACACGTTTGCCGGCAATGTCAAACATTACAAATGATCCCGAGGCCTCGTCGTTGCGAGCACCACCGGAGAGAGTGTTTTCCGGGAGAAAGCATCATCGGTTGGTTTTCAAGGAAGATTGCCAAACCTTTGCGGGGATCATGCAGCTGAATGTCGCTGTGACGACATTGTTTCACGGGCTTACAGGTGAGTCGCAAGACATCTGCCATTCGAAAATCCCATTTATGTCGTGGCACGACCTATCAGCCCTGCAACTGCTGTACCTCGCGCGATATGTCCACCGCGATGTCAGTGCCGGAAATATTTTGTGTTACAAGGGGGAACAAGGAAAGCTGTCTGATCTGGAATATGCAAAGCCATTCCGTTCAACCGATGATGTCAGGAAGGACGCGAAGACTGTTTGTCACATGACTTGGTTGTTTGTTTGGGTTTGCTAAATTGCACCTAGGGAACACCGGGATTTATTTCCATTGAAGTGCAAGCATGGGAGTACCATTTTAACGTCCTTCTGCCTGCCGTCCCTTTTTTCCTTAACTTTCAACATGACTTGGAGTCATTGTTCTGGCTCTTTGCTTGGCTTGTGTCCCGCCGCATCCTCGAAACAGTTCCTCCGTTGACTGCGCAATCGGATCTAGTGTATCTGCGCCGGCAGGCTGACCGGTATTTCTCGCTTTTGTCTTCGGATCCTCCATTTCATCGATTCACCTTTATTCTGCACGCGGGAACCTCTCTGGAGAGGGGGCTTTCAACTGTGGCCCAGGGCCATGGCTTGATGCTCTTCGTTGTGGATCAGCTTTATCGCGCAAAACAACAGATTTACAGCAATTATTTGCTACTCGAAGAGGGTGATCTTGCTCCGCTTGAGGATCCAGAATTTTTTTCCACGATCTATAACGGTATTCGTGATACTTTTCGCGCTCTGA